CAGTCCTGCTCTACGGTGCAGAGACTTGGCCACTAAGGGAACAGGATAAAAATAGATTATTCTCCTAACACCACTCTATATGAATTTCCCATCTTCCCCTTGAATTGGCTTCGACATTCCAATCTTCATTTCGCTCTTTTATCCAAATGGGCAACCAAAACCGGCGCACGAAAATGCATGGTTAATGGTTGTAAAAACTGAAAACTGACACTGAAGTACTCTCAAAGTTCTTTAGTCCCTGTTCTGAATACTTCGAGTTTGTTCACCCTCAGGCAGGTAATTTTCCCACTGATTCGCAAGACAGCTTTCAATCACCATAGGTGTGACGGGCAAATCATCGAGGTAGTATGAAGTCTACGAGCCACCGACGGTCGCAGTTCGGTCGGACGAAACATTAGTCACACTTTCTGGGTGATCAATACACCCGATCCTGACTTTCATGACCAGAGTACTATGGTGTTGGTACAGATGACGCTTCTCAGAAGGTGTGTGAGGTCGGAGTATTCCAACGCTCCCCTTCCCAGTAAATGGTTTTTCTGTACGGAATCTACAATAAATGTGACTAGAAACCGATTGGGACCAAACGTCATGAAAGATTGCGTTTTTTTACCTTGGATTCCATTTTGCACAAGCAGCTGGGAGTTGTTCACGCCGCTACTGACTCTCGGGGCAATAATCGTTAAACGCTGATAACAACAACAACAAAAACCACTAAATTGCAACGAAGGTGGAATTTAGTCAAATTAGAAGATGCTATCATTGTGTGTCGTTCATCCCGGTTACAAAAATAATTCACCATTATGTCCGAAATTTAAATTATCTATTTGTTTCTCTTCGTTTTCTTCAGATTTCACAATTTTCACGAAACCACTCCGTGACAGAAGGACATTTCACGGTGATTTTTGATAATATCACCGGTCTCGTTGATCTGGGACTTTCGTTGAGCCAGATGCATCAGCTAATTACGTCAACCATACGATCAGAAGGCATCATACAGCCTATGATTCATCTGGTTATCGGCTGTCATGCAGGTCAAGTTTTCGAGGACTCTTGGGCATCTGAGTCTGAGCCCAGTTTTGCCCACTGGATCGAAATGCTCAAAGCAAAAGCGGATTGGACGCTCGAATTACGACGACTAACGACTGGTTACACGGTTTCGATTGACGGAGAGGTAGGCTTTTCATTAGGATTATTTGTATTCTTTTTTAATCATTCTCGGTCGTTCCCCATCCACAGCTAAACACTGTGACATAAGTATTCTTGAATTTTTCGGTGCTTCAGATCGAACGCGAACAATATGTATTCCGAGCTTTCTTGCTGGGATGGGTTGATGCAATACTTCTTTGGTTTCTGAAGTGGTGAATAGTCGTAAATCTTCTGCAAGGAAACTCTTAGGTGATGCTCATGAGCATCATAGATATCCGCGTTCGGTGATACTCATTTCATGATCCTGGAAGTCAGATAAGCACTTAATTCTCGCTCCATGGCTGTGATGGAAATTTCTGTCTTGAATCAACTCCAGACAAAAGGCCGAGGTTCGGAAACTTTCCTAACTATCGAACCCCGGTCAGGACCGGAAATAACTAATAATAATAGTAATAAAGTAAATACAAAAGTTTCCCAGGCACTATTGTTGGTCTTGGGTGAGGGTTTCAATTCTTGGGAGATCATTGATTCCCCACTATTTAAATGTACTCATAAGCGACTAGCCGCAAACGGGATGAAACAGCTGTCCAGTGCTCCTTCTCGGTCATCACAAATCTTTCCTTTGTACTTATTGCGTATACAAATATACTTTCAACTTTCTGCAGGGAGGCCGCGGTCATACATACAAATGCTGTAAGGGGGGACATGTAGGTGGGTACTTTGGTTGACTGTGGCGGGATTCCAATTCAGGACCTACTGGTTACTATTTTGAAGACCTTAGCTACTTGACCACCGCCAAAAGTACGCTCCACTGTGCTCCTCTGTTGTTGATAATATCGATTTTGCTGAGTTGCTGAACGCACCGGAATTCTAACTGTTTGCTGGATGATTTCAGTGTACTTCTCAAGAAATATGTTAATGCCTAACCCCCCACCACCACCACCTCAAAAATGAGGCATGAAGGCTTTTATTAAAAGATCGAAGTCTAAAAACCCATAAGCGGTACAGTGAAAAAAATCATTAGTGAAGTAGAATTAATCACACTTGAAACACTGTAGTATCACTCTGATGAATCTATTCGAACTGGCAACAATATTGGTCATCCATGTGTACAGATGCATCAGGATTTCTTCTACACCAAATAATCAGGTTCTCAAATGACCCAAGTCGAATTCTCAGTCTCACTGTTGTAAGCAGCCTGTAGGTAAAAACTACTGATCATCAGTGTAGATATTCTTCATTGATCGAACCCACCTCTGGCGCAGTATTGATTAGTTGTGTCAATCACGTCAACTAGGCTGTCCCCAGAACATCTCACTCCTATCTTCATTGCAGTGAACGCAAAGATGCACATGCGCGTGCACGAATCGGAGGGGGGGGGGACTGTGTGCGCAGTTGTCAGTGCACTAGCGAAGAGTTCAGGATACGGAGAACTGTATGCTAATTGTCCGTAACTTTTGACTACCCTTTGTCTGTAGCAATGAGATTGACCATTTTGTGTGCGAGAATTCTTGGTGTGTGTTTTATTTCTGAACATGATGTCCTTACCAGTGAAATCCAGTATGTGACTTCCAGCTGTGACTTCTCAAATGGTAACCAACTCCTGGTCTGCAGTCTGCCGAAAGGGTGTTAAGCATTGTCTTCCTTGGGGGTTGGGGGGGGGGGGGCA